AATGGGACAAATTTTCAAGAATATTTGCTTGTGCATATTAGGTAATAATTAAGCAATTACCATTTTTTAAATTTAGAGGTTCAGGCTAGGGATTACAGCTCAGCGGTACAATGCTTGCCTAACAAGCATTAGGCAAAACTACATAATGATGTAAAAATAAAAAAATTCAGAAACTTCTGTATTTTTCTCTCAATGACAAGTTTCAGTAAGCAAAGAAAATCTTTGTCAACCCTTGACAGTGTTTTTACAAGAGTACGAGGTTTGTACACTTCCTATTACAGCACGTATGTCTGTAAAGTCAGAGTCAGCACAACTATATATCTAGCTATTTCATATTATAGCAGTATGTTTACCCTATTCTACATTTGCTATTTTCTGTGCATTCTCCTCTCTCTGTTGTTGAGTCATTTTATTTGTCTGACTGAAAAACTTTCTTAAATTAAGTAACCGTATTAATTCAGGACAGATTCTACACCTAGTTTATCTTTTTTGGCCACCCCATTATCCTTTTAGTCACTAAAATATAAAATAATAATGAAAGAAAACTGCATTTAAGGGTTATAGCTAATTAATATTGCCTGACATTAAGAGTATATTTTACCTTTCTTAAAATAAGTACATAGTAAAATCCTTACTATTTATATTTGTACACCAAACTACCTTACTGAATCTTTTGAGACACTTAGTACCCCCACAACATAGTCGTAGTTCTAAAAAGAGATTTATCATTCCCAAATTAAATTATAGTCCTCTTAAGGGGAAAATTAATCTTCTTTTTCTTACAGCACTGGGTTCTAGAACCCAGGGCCATTGCATACAAGTACTCTACTGCTGAACGACACACACCCTACCCTGCAGCTCTAAAAATTAATCTTAAACCGTTTTTTCTCACATTCTGTGTTCCAAATCATATTAAAAAGTTGTTTGTTTAAAAGCGAACACAAGTTGCTTATACTAATCTGCCTATTTTTCTCTACCTAATTCTGTACTTCTAATTCCAGGAAGAATGCAAACATGCATTTGCTGAGTGACTATTATATACCTACTCTCACACAGTCTGCAAAGCGGTAGGAAGTCAGTTTTCCTTCTCTTTACTAAAGTAGCCTGAGTTCTGTTTTGAACCTTGAAAGGAACAATAACAGGTAAACAAATTACAAAAAGCTCAAGTTACATTATTTAAAGGTCTCCAAAAACAGAAACACTAATGAAAGGAGAAACAGTTCTAGTGTTTCTTCTAGAGTCTAATTCTTACTGCTATGCAACTCAATGTTGTTTAGTAAACAAAGAAGAATATTGGAGACTAATAAGGACTATTCAGGTTAAAGGCAGCCCTGTATCATGGGGTGGAGAGATAGAAAATACAAATTATGAAGAGAACTCAAGTTTCACAGTAAGGGCAAATGAAAAATCTAGATATGTGCATTTACCACTGAATATTAATGCATACACATATACAAAAATGTGCACTTTTACATACCTACCCCTCTTTGTTTTGTCAGAGGGAAGGAAAACTAGACTAAGCACACACTATAAACACCTCAACTTCTAAAATAGAACTGAGAACCTAACTGATGACCTGCCTCAAAATTAGGGGAAAAAAGGTCTAAAAAGAAACCAACAATAACCCTAAACACGGAACTTCTGATAGTCAGAGGACTGATTCTTAGTCCTATACTCAAGGACTAGTCTCATCTACTTTATGAACCATTTTAGCTCCTTGCCATCTGTCTTCTCATTTTAGAAGAGAATTTGGCCCAGGGATGTAGCTCAGAGGTAGGGCACTTGCCTAGCAAGAGTATTCCCACAGTAGGATACTCCAAAAGACATTACATGAGAACCATCAGAAATTCTCCCCTTCCCCCCAAAACGCAGCAGAAGTAGAAAACCAGGTCTTTAGGACATCATCAAATTAAAAACAGCATACTCAATGATATTTCGTTGTTTTGTTTTTTTTTTTAAAGTCAACATACAACATTTTGTTAAAGTTCAGGTGCTCAGTAGGTTAGCTGACATCTGTACTAAGAGAGATGGTAAGGAACAAATTCAGCTGTACTTTAACAAAAGAACATCCCCCTCCGCCAAGATCTGAGGCATATCAAACTGCTCAGGAAGTATATACTACAGTAGGCTTGATTTCCACCCCCCCTTTTTTTTTTTTGTGGAAACAAAAATAAAAGGGTGAAAGTTACTCGATAGCAACAAAAACAAAGCTCTCTCACAGATCTAAGTCTTCATCCAAATTAGTTACTGTTTAAAATAACACATTGACAATATCTCCTAATAGTTCTGAAGAGTTAACAAGATAAGATTGAAGATTCCATATAGGCTTTATTTTATACACAGCTGATTACTAAGTACACACTGAAATCTAGCTTGATGGCAATGGTGGGAAGTCAAAAACAGGCTATCTCATCTCAGGCAATTTGCTGCTCTGGTCTGAATGCTTGGGTCTCCTCTAGATTCCTATGTTGAAAACCTCAGCCCCAAGGTAATGGAAGTCAGAAGGGGGTTTTGGGAGGTGACTAGGTCTCACAGGGATAGAGCCCGCATAAATGGAATTTGTGACCTTCTAAAAGAGTCCTAAGAAAGATTTTTCCACCAAGTAAGGGCACGGCAAGAAAGCTATCTATGAGCCAGAGGCAGGCCCTCACCGGATACCAAATCTGCTGGTGCCTTGATGTGAGACTTGCCAGTCTCAAGGACTCTGCCAAACACACTCCTGTTTATGAAGTACAATGCATGGTACCTTGTTACAGTGGCCTGGACAAACTAAGGCATGATCTAACAACATAAAAGCCTTAAGAACGGAACAACTTTCTCTCTTTTATAGTTAAAAAGAAAATATGTGATAATGCAATTATTCTCAAAGCAATGACTTCCAAAACCTTATCTTTGAAGCTTAAATCCTGTCTCCAAACTCACCATTAACTTCCTACCAATTGTTTACACTTAAACATTTTGGCATTATCTCAAATTAAACATAGTCAAACATAAAAAGGAACAAAAAAACAAATCCCCATCCATCACCCTCACCCCCTGCAAGCCAAACCAGCTTCCTATGTGGATTTTCCTATCCCTGTCATGCTGCCTTACATCAGCATTTCACTGCAATAACAGCGACACTCATTTAGGCTCTTGTCATTTCATTGGGAAACAAAAGATTCCTTTTCAGTGCTTATAAGATAAAGTTGTGAGTGAAACCCATCTGTCTGACATTTAAAATTTACAGAGATGACCTGGCTAGCTACAAAGGTGTCAACAGGCATATTCCTCTAGCACACCTCTTTCAATACAACATTGTATTGAAATAGGGATAATAGGGAAGAATGTCAAAAATATCTTTATATTCAAAATGTACAGTGTCTATATCTAAATATTGACATATTCATAGCCATCAAAATAGTGAGGAAGTTAACTGACAAACACATTACTGAAATGAATGCACTCTTATGTACTTAGCTAATGAATGTTGAAAGTCTGTGCTATACTCTTGTTTGAACGATGTTGGAGAATCTACTGAGTCTTCCTTTCCTGCCACTACATGTTTTCAGGTAAGTAAGTTTCATTTGTAGTACCTTTAAAAAAATGAGTGATAGGGCTGGATTTGGTAGATCCCAAAAAAAAGTGTATTATTCTGTAGGTTTAATGATAGCCCTAAGAGTTTCTAAGGTCAGGTTAAGGAAAATAAGAAGATAACAACACACAGTAATTTAATACAGCCCTTTTATGTAATGGACAATAATATACACATAACTGTTTCCTAGGAGAACTGAAAAATAATTGTTACAGTTTGGATCTTCAATGTTACCAAAGCCCGTGTGTTATGAACCTAGAACACTATTGGGAGGTGTTGGAACTTTTAAGAAGTGGGGCCCAGGGAGAGGAAGTTAGGTCACCAGGGGCATGCTCTTGAAGGGGTCTTCCCCTCCTGGTTTGCTTCCTGGCTGTCATGAGGTGAGAAGTGCCATGCTGTGATGCATTGCCTCATTGCAGGCACAAAGTGATGGGGCCAATTTATCTAGGACCGACACCTCTGACATGGTGAGCCAAAGTAAAACTTTCCTCTTTATAAACTGATTATCTCAGGTGTCTGTTATAGCAATGGAAACCTGACTAACACAATAATTTCAAGAAGGAACCTGGAAGAAAGTATGGTTGAAGGCCTGTCAAGACTTCAGAGGATGTGAAAAGCACAGAGAGGTACTACTATTGTGCAACGGTAAGACCTGTCTTCACAGGACTGAGCTACACCTGTTCTGTACTATGCCCACTACTGGATTTCCCACTTACAGAACTGCAATCCCACACACAAAACTGAAGATACGTTGAAGAGTGTAGCTCAGTGGTAGGCACTTAGCATGTGTGAGGCTTAGTGTCTATCCCTAGCACTGCAATACTCAAAAAAACCAAAGGATCTAAACTCAGAAGCCTGTTATTATGAATACAACTCCACATAAAGCCTATAGCAGGTTCATCTCAGCTCTCACTGTCCTAGTCTTTAGATGTGTTCATGTTACATGAAAACAATGTGGGAAGTTGATTTCTTAACTTATTCCTTCTAAGGTATGCTACCTTCAGTCCTACACTGGATCCTTTAGTCATACTCCTTTATCAGTTACTGGGAAGAATGCTATAGTTCTCTTCCTGAAATCTGCACCTACCTTAATAAAAAGGTTTCAAAATATTAGACTACATGTTACCATTGTTTAGCTATTTAAAACACTCACTGCTAACACCAATTCGATGAGCCACAGCTGAACACAAGCATTTTTTTTTTTGCTTTTTTTAGATATGAAACATTGGTACTGTATAATTACTTTTATAATGGGCAAATATATTTTGTATACTTCTAAAAATGCAAATTGGCTATCGATGGAATTCCTTCTAACAGTTGTCATGAAAGAGTTAATAGAAGCAAAGAACTTTCTATTAATTTCTCTTTGGGGTGACTTTATTATAAAGTTCACAGAAAGGTGTCAGAAGGTAAAGAATACATTTACCTTATTTTCTTCTAGAAATTTCAATTTGATAGAAACATCATTGCGCATTTTATCATATTTTTCTTTATGTGCTTGGAACAAATGCTGTGACTGCTCAATTTTTGGTAGGGTATTTGCATCACGTGGTCCAAGATTCAGTTCTTCCAAATCAGTGCGATATGCATCATATTCAATCCTGGAAAGAAAAGAGTAAATAATATATACTACAAAGATGGAGTGAAATACATTTGAAGATGGGTTGAAAATATTCAGTGTCATATAAAATAACAAAATTGTCATATAGATTCTCTCCCTTATGCTTCTGAAATCATTATTTTTTAAACACAAAGAGCTATTAATATAAGAATGGAGGTAGGGTAGGAGGCTTGTTTAGTATGTATGAAGCCCTGTGTTTGAGCCCTGTACTACAAAATCCACAAAGACACACATACACACACATGAATGGGGGAAGAAAAAAGTGTGATGTAAGAATATAATCTCATTGACTAGAACTTCCAAAGTACAGTCAGAAATTTTCTAAAATTTAAAAACCAGTTTTAAAAAACAGATGTTAACCTAACGGCTGTCAAAACAAGATCAAGAGTAGACGTGGATCCCCCATGTAGACTGATTAATCTTGATGCAGCAAAGCAGAAAAGGCTGGCAGGCTTTAGAATGCCATAATACAAATAACAGGAAAAAAGGAGTTAGGCTGAGGGGCTGTAGCTCTTAGTATAGTCCTATAGCAATGCACAACAGAAAGTTAACGTGACTCATATATGCAATTAAAATTCTTCTAGTGGCTACACTAAAATGATAAAAAAAATTCTCCTGCTTTTAAACAGTTTATTTTCTTTTCTCCAATACATCTAAAATACATCACTGTAACATGTAATCAATGTGAAAAAATGCTAATAACCTATTTTACAAAAGGGGGTTGGGTGCTAAGTCTTGGAAATTCACTGTGTATTTTCCACTATCATTACATACCAATTCAGACAAGCCACATTTCAAGTTATCTACAGATACCTGTGGCTGCTGTATGTGACCATGCATCTGCTGGAGAACACTTATTGCTACCTTTGTTCTGAGGTGTTTCACCCCAATACTGTCCCACCACTAACTGAAACAGTTAGTCTACCCCCCTCACAGCACTTCCTAATGCCTCTACCACAGCACCTGTGTAAGCAAGTACACTGCTATGATTATACAGTGACTTACCCAGCAGCCTCAACTATTCAGTACTCAGCTGCAAAGAAGCAGAGTGACCTTTAATTTGGTCAAAATCAGAATCACAAAGCTTGTACTCTAAAACTAACGGTATTCAGATACCTATAGCATGGATTTACATCTCGGTCTGGGAATTAAGAATACTTTAAATAGCACAAGTTATATTGCAGACATGACTTAGGAATACATCAGTTGCTCATGCTGATCCTAAAGTATTCTTAACTCATACCAAATTTAACAAACTTGGTATTTCAGGGCCAGAAAGGATCATTCATTTATTCACTGATACCTTGACTCACTCAAGTTATCAAGTGAGCACCTTCTATGTTTCAGGCTCTCGCTTGAAAACGAGCTACAAAGATGAACAGGTAAGTGTATCCTCAAGAATCTGTGGTCCAGAGAAAGACAAGCTTGTACCTAATCATAACAAAATGGAATAAGGGAAACTACCATTACAGGTGGGGGTAGCAGGTAAGGAATAATGGAAATCAAAAGAAAGAATGAACTAATTAGGTATCCAAAAAGGCACCTCAGAATTAAAACACTATACTTACAATTTAAAGGATAATAGTTTACTGGGTTGATTGGAAACAAAAAGATTGGTAGAACATTCAAGGAAGAGAATAGTGTGGACAAAGGAATGGGTGTGAAAGATTCTAACCCATTAGGGAATTAACTCAGTATGGTATAATGTGAAGTCAGAACATGATAACGGGAAGAATTAAACAGAGACTTATCAAGACAGGTAGGCAGGATTAAGATTAAGCAGTCCTGTGGGTCCTGCTAAACTGTTCAGGCTTAATTCAGTAGGACAAGTGATGGGAGCCAGTGAAGTACTGTGATCTGACATGAAAGAAACATGATTCTATTTGTTTAGGACAGAGAGATGACTCTGGTTATGGTAGTGCAAAGAATGGTGATGGACTGGAGCAGAAGATTAAGAAAGCAGAAGAAAGAAAACCAAGTGTAAGACTACAAGAAATCAGTTACTGAAGCAAGACAAAGGAGGTGGAGCTGAGACAAATAGAAGAATTAGATGCAGGACTAACCTTCTAAGAGTAACAAGTTACTTAAATCCATGGGTTCAGTAGCCCAACTCCACCCTTCACTGGCTTCAATGTCTTTAGCTAGTATTGCATCTCTTTGTGCTCCCAACTTCATACACACATTTAGGACACCTGGTAATAACTAAAACCTTTAGAATGCTTATTATGATAGCCAAATTAGAAAAGGAATAGCTAGAAGCAAACATTGTGGAAATTAAGTAATAAAAAAAAGTAGACCTAGAGTAAGATATGGCACTTCACTCTGCAATCCCAGCTACTTGGGAGACTCAGGTAGGAAGAGGATTGCAATCCTCTGGGCAAAAAGTGTGAGACCCTATCTGAAAAATAACTAAAAGCAAAAAAGACTGAAGGCAAGGTTCAAACACAAGGTCCTGAGTTCAAAACCTCAGTACTGATAAAAAAAATAGGAACTAAATTTAAAATGGTATGTGGTGATTTAATGGAAAGATAAACATCCTTCAATAGCCCTAGCGCACATTTCTACAGCAGTTTTACTAATTTAAACTTACTCAAATTTTAATATTGACCTTACTTATGTTCCTTAACTTCGCATGTAGATGGTGTCAAAGCAAAACTTCCCACAAGACTTCTCTAACAGTGCTTGTTGCCACCAAGAAGGGAGGGCACTAAGTTTTCAAAATGCAACTCTGCACTCAAGATTGCCAGTCTAAACTGAGTCCACATCAACAGTTATTAATGGTTACTTCAAGGCTCATGTGACACTTCTAGAGCACAGGTGTCCACATCTGACAAGTCTTGACCACAACTGACTCCCTTGTCGGTGCTTCTGTGGAGAAAAGCTGAACGGGCGAGTCTAAGATCTTCTATACACAAAGCGCCAGAGAACTAGGAAATACTTGTACACAATGAATAGGGAGCATTAAAAGGCCACCCAGGAATTGCCTAAACTACCACTTTTTGTACTGATCAAATAGGTGACCTCTGCCCTGAGAGTCAGTCAATTCTGGTTTTGACAGAGAATAAAATTCAGCTACTGAGAAACTTCTCGCCTTGGATTCTTTTTTGAATATTATCTCTCAGCAGCCAGTGTTCCAGGGTCAAAACCAGCCAGTTCCTCAGCTACTTCATTAACAGAAGCCAAAGCCCAGGCTAAGCTTAAATAATATATTTTATAATTTGAATAAAAGAGGCTAAATTAGGGTGTGAGGCTGCTGTGGCTCTATCCAGCACACAAAGAGATTTCCTTTAAGTAACCAGCTACCAAGTATATATAACTTAACTTAGTTTCATTCGAAAGTTCCAACAAACATATGTTGTACAAATTGAGGTCTTACACCACATTATCTTTTAAGTTAGGTTTCTTATTATAAGATGTAAAAACTGTTTTTCATAATTAGATGTGAAAACTTTATGTTTTTTAATAAATTATATTATTATTGTTTTGTGGTGCTGGGGATTAAACCCTAGACCTTGTGCAGTTTAGGCAAGTGCTCTACCACCGAACTATAACTATTCCAAAACTTAAAATTAATCCTCACCCAGTGTGAAAGACAGGGAGCAAATGGGCTCTCATCTTGACTTTGAAACTGACTACAAATGAGCAGACTACTTAATCTCTACAGCCTTATTTTTCTCCTTTGTAAATGAAATATAAAATGTTTTATATATCAACAGTAATTTGCCTTAAAAAATCTAGCTTTCTTTAATGTGGGCTGATATTTTAAAAGGCATGCTAGAGATAAAGGTTGAAGAGAAAAATGTTACATGCTAAGTAATTAAAATATATTTCTGGACAGATGGATAATTATGCAGTAGAGAAATAAACTAGGCTCACTTACTCTTAACTGGAAGATGGTGGGAGTACTTTTGGAACAAAACAAATTAATTCTCATCCTCAAATTGCAGGAGTATTAGAGTAACTGAAAAGACCGGAAAACAAGAAGCTTAAGACGACCAGAGAGATGAAAGGAACAGTAACCACTATGAAGAAATTAGGACATTATGAATAAGGAACAAATTTAGAAAAGAATCGAATAGAACCTATGTAAATGAAATGCTTTATTCATAATGAATACACACATAATGAATCCTGTGAAAATGTGATGTCCATGAGAACTGTAAAGCCAATTTCCAGGAATGTAACTGAACGGATCCCTATTAAAGGGTATCTTACTGATGGATTCCTTCAATGTTCGTGAAGGATTTCCTGTTGATAGATTTCTTCTGTTCCTTTTTTCTACCTTCGCATTTTAATACCATGTTAATAAATCATTCAAACAATAAAGAAAAGTAAAACCTAAGCCTAAATTAAAGTCACAAAGCCTTAATCCTGCCCTTCCCCCACCAAACAATCTCAGATGTTTGTCTTGAACTTTATTTCTAAGTCAATGAGAATTTCAAATGTTGATATGAAACTGAAAATTATAAATACAGTATGGGATGAAACCTCTCCTCTTGTGAAAAGATCAAAAATAAGCTTTTTCAAGTATTTGGGCTTCTACTTATTTAAGTAAAAGGCATATTCAAATAAAAATAAGCACTCAAGCTGGGTGTGGTGCTGTAGTACTAGGGAAACTGAGGCAGGAGGAGTGTGAGTTTGAAGCCAGCTTGGCCTACATAGTGAGATTTTGTCTCAAAAAAAAAAAAAAAAAAAAAACAAAAACAAAAAGAATAAGCACTCAACTGCAAAAGGACTAGATGAGCTTAAGAGTTCTCGGAAGTATTTGTCACATCATTAAACGAGGGCAAGAGAGAAAAACGAAAAGTTATACTTGTAAAAGGTAAAGTTTGTACCCATTTTCAGCTGTACTATAATAACTTCAAGTGTTCAGAGGAAAAAAACTCCAAGGCAACTAGACAGATAAATAAAAGCGGTAGGGCATATGAGGAAAAAATGGGACCTGGACTCAAAGCTAAACAGTGCTATGATGGGTTTGCTACTTTTAGACATCTGTAAGCATTTGTTAACATACATTTTATTCACCTGACAAAATGGTTATGATAGATATATGTATGAAGTAGAATGTACGGAATGTCTGCATTACAGACAGCTTCAAAATGTTAGGCAAGTCCCAGCAACAAGAGTGACAGGTGCACTTGGGCCAGATTATAGAGGACCATCTATTCTCTACCTAGTAGGACACAGTACCCTACCAGGACTCAGGTGGCACACACCTGAGAATTGTGAATTTGAGGACAGCCTGAGCTACAAAGCAAGACCCTGTATCAAAAAAACAAAACAAACAGAAAACCAAACCAAACCAAACCAAACCAAAACCCAAACATCAACAACAATCCAAACTCCAATAATACTGATGTAAAAGGTAAAGTGTGGAAGAGTATGAAGGCTGGTTACAACTGGACAAAAGAAAACAGGAAGCTGGTATCCATACCACAGACATCATCTTGGAGACAGAAAGGAGTGCAGCGTGGAAGCACCTGAAACATGAGGGACAGGTACACTTAAGCTAGATTGCAGAGGACCATGTCCTCCCTACGTGGTAGGACATAGGGCCCTGTGCTCTTCTGAGGAAGCTGGAGCCAAGATCCATTTCTTTGCCCACCAGCAGGCAAGGTTCGGGCACATTCTCAAGGCACTGAAGCAAGCATGTGGCCCTGAGCGTTACTTACAGCAGCTGTGTCAGCATCAAGTGCCACAGGCACCCAGGCCAGGGTCCTCTCTAGCTATCCTGAGACACTCCTTGTCTTTGGTTCTTGCTTAGTCTCAGAAGCTTGTTTCTCTCCCTTTCTGTTAGTTCTGTAGGCTACCCTATAACCTTCCGGTACATTGTTTTTCTGCAAGTACTGGACAGAGTGGTTTTCTGTTGCTTGCAACCAAAAACCTTAACTGAAATAAATGTCACTTGTAAAACGGCCAATATAATTGATACCTACCTGGCACTTTCGTACTGTTTCACAGTCATTAATGTATCTTCAATTGTTTTATTCACCAAAGTATTCACACTGGCAATGAAAAAATTAATGGCCCCAAGAAGAGTCTCTCCATTTTTAGCTAGCAGCTTCTGGGTATCTGCATTATAGCCAAATTCTTCCTAAAACAAAGAATTCATCTTAACTTAGCCACTAATACATCAGCAGACATGACTTTGAAAATCTCAAACATATCTCTAATGGGAAAATATTTAATGTAGAAATTTAGCAACAAAAGTTTTACTTTTTCTTTTAATCTTTAAATACTTAATCTAAATCACAGTTACCTAATTACCAAAAAGTTTAGCCAACCAAAATTGCCATCAGCTCAGATGCATAGCTAGACCTGAATAATTTTTAAACATTAAACTACTTTGTACTAGAAAGAGTATTTTAGTTTTTACATTTTGTTTCTATTATGCTATAAGCACAGCTGTTAGGGAAAAATAGAGCAGATTATTAATCAGAGAGACTTTAACTTTTACAACCAAATTAGGTAAGAATTGGTGAAAACTATCAAGACATAAAATAGACTGCAATTTTTTTGTATATTTTGACTGAATCTCCTCAAAGTATAAATATTAACAAGACACAGTAAACTTACTGACCAACTGACCACAAGCTCAGGTCTATGGAGGCACAGCTGAGGATCACTCAGCACCAGATTTAACTCATTCTCTCTGAATAAACTACATCTTGGCTCACCAAAATAACACACAACTCCTTCAGATATGGTAAGAATGAACCCTAAATATTCAGCAGTGAAAGCTCCCCAGTCTATGTTTTATTAATTAACAGATTAATCAGGAGTATAGCTGACCAAATAAAAACCAATCTTATAGCATTTTTTTCAATTTTTTATTGATATATTCATTGTGACAATTCCAAATAGGTGTAGATCCTTCATTGGTTAGATCACGCCCACTGTCTTTCCCCCTTGACCCACTCCCATCCCAATTAAAACAACTGCAAAAGGATTTTTTGGTTTATTTCATATAAGGAAGTATACGAAGTCCATCCACCATCAAATCTTACAATATTTTATTGTAAGATGTATAATTCACCTTGCAAATTCTCCAGTTTGTTATAAAACACTTCAATTTTAGCTAAAAAGTAACAAGTTAACTAGAATGGAAGATGAAAATTTAATGCTAGTGCTATCATTATAATTAAATTTCTAGATAAATAAAGAGCAAGACAGTAAAATTATCTTAAAATGCTGTGAGCATTTTCCCTTAAGAGAGGTCAATGTAACTCTACTCTGGACTTAGTCTTCAAAATTATATAGACTTGGATTGCAAATTTTGGCAGATATTGGATGATATAAAGAGTATTAATCAGTGCATGTAAAAACTAAAATGAAAGGCAGAACAAGTGAAGATTTTTTGGCACTCAGTCTCTACAAGGTAAATTATACATGACGCCTAATGTTACTAAATAAAATAGTACAGGATAGACCATTTTTACACCTTTTTGAAAATGTTAACAAAATATATCACAAGTATTATTTTCTTTGATGTTCATTCAGAGATAAAAAAGCAAAATAAATAAAAAACAACATGATGAAGAAAACTATGAAGGACAGATTTATATAATACTACACTTGATGAAAAGTAAGGAAACCTTTTCTGCTCCCTGTGTAACAAACTGTGTACCATTATACCATCTCCTTACAACACTGTTTATTTCTAAAAGTTCCCAATATCTACCATACATACTGTTAACTATGAAAATGGCCAAAGACCTGATTTAACCACAGTGAAATATATACAACACAGAATGCTGCTCTTTTATAAAAAAATAAATAAATAACAACTAACAGTATAGTAAGATGAAATTTTGGCAAACTGAGGAGTTAGCAGAATTTGGAATCTTAAATTTACACCAGAGGCTCATTTATAATGCCTACATTCAAAGCAGACAGGAAGAGCAAAGTGACATTATTCTTTTTCACAAATGTAAATTTCACCTTAATTTTAGGAAGAAAATGTGCATAAAATGTCAGATTTTAGGACTGGGGATATAGTTCAGTGGTAAAGTGCTGCCCTAGCATGTGGGAAGTCCTGGGTTCAATTCCCAGCAATGGGAAAGAGGTGGAGAAATGGGAAAGCCCACAACAAAACACACATAAAAAAATCCTTAGGAGTTTAATGTATAAATTGAAAACTAAACTGGCTAAAATTAAAAGCTTTTATTAGAGTAAGATGCAAAATATTGTAGTCAGTATTATAAAATAATTAGAACACCAATAAGAAGTGGAAATACATATATATATATGGATTATAAATAAGTACACATTTTGCACTGAAAATAAGATAAAATATGACAATTATTTAGTCAATGACAATTATCTTAGTATTCTAAATTGAATAATCATTATCATAAACTGCCTTAGCAATTACAAATAAACAGAATAATCAGTGTGTACCCATCACGAATAGGGCTGTAGTTCCAACCTGCCACTGAAAATGGAGGGTCAACACAACTCCCATAACTAAAAATTTAGTTGCTAAAGCAGTATCATACCAGCATAAAAACCAATGCACAGAACGATCGAACAAAATAGAGAAGCAGAAATAAATTCGTGCCATCTACAGCAGACTGATCTTTAACAAAGGCATCAGCAACATACACTGGAAAAAACGACGTTCTCTTCAATAAATGGTATAGGGACAACTATATCCACATGCAGAAGAATTAAACTAGATCCTTATTGCTCATCATCTACAAAAATCCACTCATTTAGGTACCAAAGACCTAAATGTAGAACCAGAAACTACAAAACTACTTGAAGGAAATATGGGGAAAACACTTCAAGACACCAGTATAGGCAATTGTTGTTTGGATAAGACCTCAACATTTTTTGGAGAACTTTTTTGGCAGCAAAAGCAAGACTAAGTGGGATTATATCAAATTAAGAAGTTTATGCACAGCAAAGGAAGCAATAAACAATGAGACAAGCTACAGAATGGGAGGAAGTCCTGTATTTGCAAACTATTCATCTGACAAGGGATTAATATCCAGAATATATAAAGAACTCAACAAAACAAATAATTGAAGGTAGAGTTCTGCCCAGCAACTGTGGGGCAATGAATTTAAATCCTAGTACCACCACCACCAAAAAAAAAAAAAAGAATCTGATTAAACAATAAGCAAAAGATCTGAATGGGAACTTCTCAAAAGAGAACAAATGAATGTCCAACAAGTACATGAAAAAATATTCACCATCACTAATCAAAATGCAAGGGGAATGCAAATCAAAACCACAGTGAGTTATAATTTCACCCCAGTTAAACTGGTTATAAGACAAAAGAAAAAAATGCTGGTGAGGATAGGGAGAAAGAGGAGCTCTTACATGCTGTTGGCTATGCACAACAGTATTCCTCAAAACAAACGAACAAAAAAACCCTATCACATGACCCAGCAATTCCGCTACATCCAAAGGAAACCTAATCATTATCCTGAACACAAAAGGCACAGACTGAATGGTTCCATTTATATCAAAAGTCCATAGTCTGCAAATCCGGAGACAAAGTAGATTAGCATTTGCCAGGAGCTGTAGGGAGAAGACAGTGGATGTGGGGGTCTTCTTTTTGGGTGATAAAAATGTTCTAGAATTACAGTGGTAACCAATGCACCACTTTGTGATATACTAATCAGTTTAAAAATCTCTTTTTGTGGGGTTGGATATTGAACCCAGCAAGTACTCTACAACTGAGCTACATTGCAGTCCCTCAAAAAATCTCTTAGAGGGGTAAGAATTATCTTCAGTTGAATGCCTGTTTTCTGAACTGCACACTTACATGATGAACACTATGGTATGTGCATATGTATTAATAAGACATATTTAAAAGCCCTGGACCACATCTGTGGAGCACACAGATTGCAAACAGCTTTGTCTTCCCTGCATGCAGTGCCTCTTCAAAATCACCTGATTGTAGGATGAGCAGAAAGTTTTGGATTTGGAGCATTTTACATTTCATATTAGGATGTTCAACCAATAAAGTCCATGCAAATATTCCAAAACCCAAAACACTCTAAATATGAACTACTTCTGGCCCCACACATTTTGAGTAAGGGGTACTTAACGTGTGATGCATTTACATTGTGGACACTTAATAATTGCAGCTGTTTTGATACTCAGCATCCCAAATACGAGGTGAGCCCTTCTTTTTGTCTGTTTAATGCTCAATTAAAACTGAATTTCAATATTTTCATTACTATGATATGAAGCACTATCTATAGCAAATTTTCTTTGTTCAAAGTCATTTAATGCTCTAAAGTACCTAATTCTTCAAGTTAAAAGTCTGTAGGCAAAGAATATCTGTGCCTTTTGGCTCAGAAACAAACAAAAACATCTAGACACAAATAGGGTCACAAGATAGCAAAAGAAATTCTTCAGAATGTTTTGCTGAATACTTATAGAGATAAATGTTGAATAATTGCATCCTAAAGTCCATAATTTCTTTTATTTTTGCAGTGCTAGCGATCTAACCCAGGGCCTTGCATGTGCTAAGCACACACTCTACAATGAGCTACATTCCCAGTCCTAAACTTCATAATTCATATTAATGATTTCAGTAAAAGTATATCACAGATCTATTTTAAGTAACTTATACTCTGTTCAACACATTTGGAGCCTGGGTAAGATTTTCATTAAGAGACTAATTTACTTTTTATCCACACCAAGCAATCACAGAGGTATGATTCTTTCTAGGCTTTGGCAGGCTGGGTAACCTTCTCTACGAACCAAGTTTTTTTTTTCTAAAACCTCCAACTGACATCTACCCTAGGGTAAAAATGGATCATACATTGACAGAAGTTAGTTGGTTCTTCTTCTTAAAGATTATATGAAATATCTTAAAAAGAATACCTCAAAATTCCAATGACACAGTGTGGACATGTGGCTCAGTGATGAAGTGTGGTTCAATCCCCAGCACCCAAACAACCCGAAGTTTCCAATTTTATTAAGAGTTCAGCAAGTCACAAATGTAAGGAATTACCTTTTAGAATACTTCTATTACCATCCTCCCCAATAGTTTGTTTAAACATAATCTTACATGGAGTTCTAGGGACTTCAAACTCAGGTCAGCAAATGCATCTCCAAGTTGCTTCTGGGTATGCACCATCTGGAAAAGCTGGGTTGACAATGTCTGAGCCAGTCTTAGAATATTTTCATATTTTTTCTTATTATCTCTTAATATATCAATCTGAGCTTCAAGTTCAAGGTCCACAGTTCTTGAGCCACGGCCTAGTTTCTCAGAGATAATTTGTCGAGTACACTAAAAGTAGAAAGATGTACTTTGTTTAGCAAGGGGGAAAAAAAAGAACAAAGTAATACAGCAATCTCAAATACAAATGCTAGAGCACATCACATACACAGTTTATTTTTAACTTCAAAAGACTTAGCCTAACAAATTGGAAATGGTCAGCCCCTTTGGATGTTCATCAGGAGTCAGAAAATAAATTTACCAGGCATTTCTAATAACTACAGCAATCAGAGGAAGTTTTAAGATTTATCTAGCTAGTTTATATTCTAACAGATCAATTCTCTCACATAATCATACTTCAGGTTTACTGCACTTGGATAAATTATTGAGAGATACCTGGCATTGTGTGAAGTGTAAAATTAAGAGTGTTAGTACAAGAGTGATAAAGAATGGGTTTCAAATGCTTTTGTCTCTTCTAGCTTTCCCTTACATACTTCATGTGTATGTGAAGGAGGAATGAGGGAAGAAAAGAGGAAAGAAGAGGGAGAGGGAAGTGAGAGAGAGAGAGACAGTGAGAGACAGACAGACAGACACTGATTACAGGTTCTTGAATTCTTTTACTTTTGTCCAGACAGCATAACAATTTAGTATAAAGTATGTTCCGCTATTCTGCCATAGAAACTTAAATTTTCTCTTTATTGTCTTTCAAATGTTTGGTCTCAGGATTAATTTTTGTTGTAAAAATTAAGATAATGAATAAAGTAAAAGGTGAATTAATTCCCTCTTCCTTTAATCCCTTAGAGGTTTTTCCCTTACTTTGCTTGTACTATCATTTTTCTATATAGTTAAGAATTTCTCGTGCTGGGCGCTGGAAATAATCTGGAAATGAGAGCACTTCAGGTTGCCCAGCTTTGAAAAGAAAGTTCTGGTGAGAAGATAGGAGGTGGCCAGGCATTTTGCCCCTCATCAGGGTCTCCCTCTATCAGGGTCTTAGAGGAATTTTCTCACATAATACCAGAAGACCGGGTTTTTATTTAAATTGATTCCTAGTACAATGCATACTGAAATTAAAATGCAAAATTAAAGACTAGTGTGTGTTTAGAGCAAGTTTAAAATAGAAGAGAGTTAAGAATCTAAGTTCTCTACCTTTCCTCAAAGTCCTTTAAATGGAGACCACTTATCAGCTTGGTAAAAGTTGTCTATATAAATTAAGAATTCATTTTGAAGGCAACCAACAAATGAAGCTAAATTAAAGGAGTAGAAGGAAGCTAAAGTAAACCACTGACCTATAGAAATCTCTAACTTGAGGAAGAATGGTTGAAAGAAAATAATACACAGTGTACAAAATGCCATTAGTCATCATCGTAGTGGCTCATGAATTTATAAGATAGTCACTATGTACTCCAAGTATTTAAGGAGCACCAAGAGATTTTTCCTAATGCCAAAAAAATAAAGGCATTTAAGTACAAGTAAAAGAATAAATCCACAGCAATGAATGCCATTTAAAAATGGTGATTAAGATGACACATAGGGAAGGGAGAATAAAAAGAAAATGAATGGGGGAAATAGTTCAACCAATAAATGAATGAGACAATATGACAAGAAAAACAGACATGAGAGTTTAAAATATACTGGCTTAAAGTCAACAAAGATTAATTTAATAAGAGTGTGGTTGCTAATGGAAAAATCTTAAACACTTTTAAAAAAGTATTTTTAAAAATGCTTTGTTGAAGAAAGTTGTCAAAGAACTCTGAATGCTGAAACTGAGATGATTATCTCTAAAAAAAGATTTCAAGCTGGGCAACCTTACAAGACTCCATCTCAAAAAAAAAATGCAAAAAGTGCTCTTGTAGACTAGGAAAAACCAAAACCAGACAAACAAAAAGATAAAACAGAATTCGTTATTCACAACTATTTTTGCAGATGAGAATAAATATGAGTACAAGGCCCAAACTTAAAATTCCTCCTACTGTATATTCAGCTTTAATCACAGGACTGGTCTTCGGGCAAAATTAACAACAAAATAAAATGAAATACTAAACATTTTCTTTGAAGAAAAGCCCAAAAGTATTTGCTAGAGAGAAGAAATTAAAGGTAGAACTCATGAAGGAGGGAGGGTCAAAGTCACGACCAGAATAAAGTTATTCAAGAACGGTGAGAATAACAGGCACAGTCCTAAATCAACCAAATCAAAACAAGTATTTGAAGCATTATCCCATGACAACGAATGCATAACATAGCTACCAAAAAGGTAAAAAAGCCAAGAAAGTCATGTAGACCCACTGAGGTCATTATACTCTGGGCTTCCTTTGGTTGAGAGGTGTTGTCAGCTCCAACAAACAGGCTACAAGCCCTGCAGAGCTTGTAAGTCAGAACTTTCTTTTTCTCTCGTGACCTGGTTTGGAATAGCCAAGTAATTCACTCTGTTTTACTCTTACAAAGACATGTAAGAGAACTACTGTGTAAAAACGTAGACAGTTCTTCATTTGCCAGGCACTAAGACAAAACAGCCAATCCCAAGTACAGAGTTGTGCCTCATGCTGTAGCCTGAGCTCGTGGCACTTTCAGCTACTTAACTACTCCATGAATTCTACTGCCTCATCTCTATGAAGATGCACAAGTATGAAGTGGATTTGGGGCTTGGGCTGTCTGTACTACATCAAATATACCGTAGATTAAATAATTTGCTTGTTTTTACAGAAATCATAAGGAAATTAACTACAATTTCCATGAAGCAATGAAAGTAATGTTAAATTATTAAAATTGAATTTATTTGTGATCTGGTGCTATCTGTACAGTCACTACTTGGTTATTACAGGAAGATCTGAGAATTTCAGACTTTGGAGAACTAACACGCCTTTCGACCTTTAGTGACTATAGGGCAGTGTTGTGTGCCTGTAATACTAGCTACTCAGGCTGAGACAGGAAGATCTTTTGAGAGCAGGAGGCGGAGACCAGTCTGGGTAACAAAGTGAGACCCTATCTCTTAAAATTAAAAATAAGTAAAGTACCAAGAAAAGGGGGCAAATATAGCTATAGCCGTTTCTACAATTAAATGTATTTTAAGGCAGTATATTTTCAAGTATATACACTGTCAGTTAAGCATTTAGGTAGGTTTTTACATTTCTGTACCAATTTTTAAATTATATATGAAGATCAATAACAAAATATTTCATTTTCTCACTGTATTTCCACATTTAGATAGCATTATTCTCTCCTACATATCCACATAAGTGTAATATAACAATGTGAATAGCATATAAATGAAAATTCTTAAGCACCATTTACGCTAAAAAGAGTAAAAAAAAATTTGCAAACCTTATATGTATTTAGACTCCATTTTCTAACAAGTTCTAACTTTTCCATTGCAGGATTTTTAATTTCATCTGCTAGAATAACTGGTCCACTTTTTGTCTGTGTTCTCTGGCCACCTGCATGATCATAACAAAAGACAAAAAGACAGTCCAGATAAAGACCAGAGGAGAAAGAAAACAAAGCCCCTTTGGTGTTCAAATTAAACTACTTATGTATTTAGAAAAATAAGAAAGGTTTCCACAAAGTGAAAGACTAGAACTTCTTGGAATCATGGAAGATAATTTCCTAATGACTTAAGAAACATTTTTATCCATTATACACAAATGTCATGTGATTTGTCTTCTTTAAAAAAATAAATTCTGCTGATGTTGACTTCAACAAAAATAAAAATTTCACAACTAATCTTGTAGCCTGTTTTTTCAGTAAAAATCTCTGGAGTGGTATCCTTTCTATGTACTATGCACAACAGAACAACAATAGAATGTTGCTATAATTTTGTACAATTTGAAAAAAATGTTTCAAATTGTCTTTAAAAAATGTTTTCAGCTGGCTGCCCATGGCTCATGCCCAGTAATTCTAGCTATCTGGGAGGCAGAGATGGGGAGTATCACAGTTATAGGCCTGCCTGGGCAAAAAGTTCACAAGATTACGTCTCAACCAATGACTGGGTATGGTGGCGTGCACCTGTCATCCCAGCTACTTCAGGGAGCATAAATCGAAGGATCTCAGTCCAACCAGCCTGGGCAAAAAGTGAGACCCTATAAGTAAAGTAACCAGAGGGAAAAGGGCTGAAGGTGTGGCTAAATGGTAGCTAGTTCAAAGTCCTAAGTTCAAACTTCAGTACTGGAGAGAGAGAGAGAGAGAGAGAGAGAGAGAGAGAGAGAGAGAGAGAGAGAGAGAGAGAAAGAGAGAGAATATGTTTTCACCATAAAAAATGGTAAACCTTTGAGGAGATAGATATGTTTGGCCTGATTTAAACATTATACTATATATAAAAGGCAAATTTAATTTAAAACACCTTACTACCAGTATAACAAGCTGGGCTAATGGGATGAAGTAAGACCTAAATAGTACCTTTTTCTCAAGAGTCTCCCCCACCCCCCAAAAAAGTTTTAAGAAGTTAGGTATATGTTCCAACAATTAAGATTTTATGGCATAAAAGCATGTCTACTACTAGAAACTCTATAGAGTTTCTCAGAATTACTAGAAACTATACATGGTGAGAGCACAACCATGTCCAGTTCATTTTTCTTACATAACGTTAAAGTTTCTATAGAAAGTATGTAAGGTGACTATCTATTAGAAACTCTAGAGTTTATAATAAAATATTTCTAGTAAAATATTTTCCATAGCAGAAAAATGTTTCATAAATGTTTATCATACCAACGATTTGGGATGGAAACTTTCTAATAAATTAAAAATAATGAAATACAGAGAAAAGAAACTATAAAACATGATTTGAAAAAATCAGAGCAAAAATTTCTTTTCTGACATACTCTTAAAGTGAGACTAGACTTTAACACAGCTTTACTAACAACTGAGATTGAAAATGGTATATAAAATCAAAAACGTTAAAAATTTTACACAACTCTCATAGAAATAAAATATAAACGCCAACATTCCATACAAAAAGAAATGTGGGGATCGTTTGTATTTTCTGGGACAGGTCTCACTCTGTAGCTCAGGCTGGCCTGGAACTTGCAATCCTCTTGCCTCAGCCTCCCAAGTGCTGGGATTATAGTGGACACCACCATGTCAGATCATTTTTTCTGTTTTTATCGTTCAGCAACATTAAAGTGCAAAGACACATTTTCCCCAAGTGTTTTTCACTGGGTCTAGTTGGTAAATTACATAGCATTTTGCTGCGATCTGCAAACTATTTGTAAGTCAAGGCTAGCAAGGTTTCCACTTGACCCATTCCCAGTAATAAACAATGCAATTGTTGAAGTTTTCTTTTTGGCTTAGCTGAAAACCACAGAGCTGCAAAGCTGAGAGGTTAGGATCAAATAAGCAAACCTACGTCACCCAGAGGAAAGATAGGATGATTTAAACAAACCACGTTCTAACATTTTTTTTAACCTTAAAAAAGATTAAATTTGAGGTGTGAGTTGTGGCCTAATCACTTTGGAAAGGCAGAAAGATAGGCTATGGCTAGAAAAATTACTTTCCTCATTGTTAAGAAAAAAGCAACAGCCACCAAAAGCCAGAAAGACACACACACCTAAGAATACAAAGCAAGTGATTATGAAACTGAGTTAGTTAGCTTCACAGGAGCAAGAAGGGCTTTATCCAATCGGTGTACTGAATACCTGCAGCAACAATTAAATCACTTCCTTGTTGAGCCAGTTGACTAGCTGCAACCCTGCTAGGAGATAGAACAGACGGCAAAGGTGGTGCTGGGGAACCTGGAAAGGGCAGACATATTTTTTCATATTTATTTTATTTTTGCTTTTTTTTCCCCTTTATTGTTATGTTGGGTGGGGGAGCATTGTGGCATTTACAAAGGTTCTTACAATGTATCAACCATATCATACTTAATTCACCCCTCCACTGCTCCCCTTTACCCCTCCTCTCCCATTCATGGAATAGTTATAACAGGTATCATTTTTGCATTTACATACATGTGCACACATGTTTTTGCACCCTATTCACCCTCCTATCCCCTTTCCCTGCCACCTCCCCTCTAAGGGCAGACATTTAACTGAAAATCCTTTCCTCCCCAACATGCTATACATTTCTTTTAAGATATATGCTTGACTTCTTGCTGTAAAGGACTAATAATAAGTGGATGCTACCAGACTGAGTTCCTCTATAAACTTTTCATAAAAACCAAACAAAGCCATCTAGCTCCACGAAAGGTCTTGGCAAGATCACATCTAAACAACGCTACCTGCACTCTGCTGTTTCCAAAACAATTAACAGAGTATGGTCAAAGACCCATAGTTGAATGATCAAAGCTTAAGTAAATATTCCATAGCATGCTACTCTTAAACATGGAGAAAACTCAAGTCAAAATCCTAAAGCACATGAGGGATATGAAAGTGTGCTTTTATACTACCTAGAGAAATGTGAATAAATTATGTCCTTCACAAGAACTGTAGCCCAAAATTTCAAATCATAAATCAAACATCACATAGTGCAGAACACTGCTATTCCCAGTGGGGATGCAGGCACACAGTCACCTTTAAGACTGATAGAAACACATACTCTCAGGCCCTGCCCACCCTCCTGAGCCAGATGTGCACTGTTATAAGATCCTCAGGTGACCTGTATGGACTGAAGGTTTCATAAGTGTTGATGCATTTTCTGACTGATCCTAAGAGTCACTCCTTGAGCTTGAAAATATCCTTGAGGCACGTCCTAAGATCTCCTGATCACCAACCAGTGCAACAGGTACCTGTTGTTTTATAAAGCCACTCAGATGATTCTCAAACACCACCAAGTTGGACTAGAGAAAAGAATGCAATTTTTGAGTGAAACACAACTGAGCTTTACATTCTAATTCTGGGTTTGAAATTCTGGCTCTGTTTACCACATAGTATCAAGAACACCCTAGCAGTTTACTTAGAATCTCTGAGCCTTTAGTCATCTGCAGAGTAAGAAATACTGGCTACCTATGATTGTTGCTAATGTCTTGTATAAACCAAGGAAAAGGGAAGATGTTGAGAAAAATGTAGAAGTCCTTTAACATTGAGCTCAGAATATTTTAATGTCCACAATGTACTTTTATTTCAATTATAATCTTTCCCAGTTTTATGGAAAATACAAAATTAAATATTCTAATAGGAATGAAACAACACCCACCTTCTTTACTTGTAATTGGGAATAATTCTACATTTCCCAGATATACTAAGTTCTGCTAAAGGCCACCAGTTCCACTAGGATGAAAATCTAAATTTAGCCTGGCTCTCACATTAAAATTCAAGCAACGTAGACCTAAATAGACTGTTACTACCTTTCAAAATAAGAGATACTTGTCTCTTTAAACCTGTTGGACTATAAAATTTAAAACGAGGCAGGGTGATGGTAATCAACTCGTCTGCACTCTCACGTTAAACTGTATGAAAATGAGGTCGAGAGAGGTTAAAAGGTTCTTATGAGACTCAGGTTTCATGAATCCACACCATACTGTCTCCTATGAAAGCAATACATAAAACACTTCTCTAAAGTAAGGCAGTTGCTGAGTTGGAAGGCATTTTAATAGGTTAACCAGTCCAATCATCATTTAAAACAAAGATATCTCTACTGTCCAAGACAGTAGCTCCATGTCTGTTGTTCTTGTGACAGTTCATTCATCTTGCTTCAGAAACACTGCCACAGTGGAGCATGAGACATGTGTCACACATAACAAACGAGGCCTAGGTTCCACACAGAAACAGAAACTGGACTGTCAGCTCTTTTGCCTCACCTTCAAGGTAACTGAACTTCTCTGTGTCTTCAGGATTCTAACCTTTAAACTGGTTTACTTAAATTAACCCTTTAAGAGTATTCATGAATACCCACTACAATATCACTTGAAAATTGAGAATCATATAGTCAGGCATGGTGGTGCATACCTGTAATCTCAGTACTCAGGGCAGAGATCGAATCAAATATTAAGCTAAATAACTTCACTTAAAATACTTACAATATCTGAATAATAAATTAGTGTTTCATTCTATGTTGACATTTAAATTTTGAAACTGGGGTTGGTTTATGTACAAGGCCCTGTGTCTGATCCCTAAAGACTGCAAAATAAATAAACAAATAAATAAAATCTGAAACTGATGATTGACCCAAAAATGGTGTCAAATTATGCAAAGTAAGCCTTAACCCTTCAAGCAATCATAACGTTAGGTAGTCAGTCAACCTTTCAAATTCAGTTATCCCCTATATAAGAATGCCACAACACTTGGGAATGAAGTATAGATTGCATTTTTTAAAGATCAAGTTCTGTTTTGTTTTCGAGAGTTTTACATAGAGTGTCCAGAGGTCTTAGATGCACACTGCTAAGACACTGACATGCTTGCTTCCTTTTTATATCTGTTTCTCTAAACATAAGAATGAAAAGGAAAAAAAAAGTCACTGAATAGTCCACTCACCACCGCCTAGAGCACGTGATCCTGGATTACACAAGAGGCCTGTTTCCAGGACCAATACAAAAAAGAGTGTATTTCAAAACCTAAATTGTTCTTGAATTAAGAATTACCCAATAATATAATAAAAATATAGATGGCTGTTATCTGCAGGAGGGCTAAGTACTGCAAAGGCATGGAGACTTTCCATTTTGTGAATTACAGGGTAGTACTAACATTGATATTTCACTGAGCAGCAACTCTAACTATGAACTATGTTGACAATAGCTCTGTTTAGAAAATGATCTATTTTTCCACATCCAAATGTTTACATGGTTTTTCTTTCACTCAAATGAAAGAACGCTTGAAATAATTTAGGCAAGACCATTTAAGGGGGGTAAGTTTTTCCTTTCTATTAAAACATACATATATAAATACATTCATATACACAGGATGTGTGCAAAAAAGAGTTAACACAGCAGACCTAACTGCCTATCTAACTGCTTACGAGACTGGCCCTTTACTGGCGCCTGGGAGCCTCAGCTTTGGAAGGATGTCTCCATTCCCAGAAGGACGGGCTCGCTGGGTCTAGACTGCTCATACAAACAACATGGCTCACGCTGAGTGCCTGCACACACTCCTTCGGATATCTGCAGTCTTGACACTGCTGGACAGAGGGTGCCCACCTAAGCGGGCACTGAGTCTGTAAAGGAGATTCCCATTAGCAACATTTCATGTATGTCATCACAACTCACTGCTGAGGGTAGTAGGAAATGTCCGTGTGAAGGCCTTGGGAGAAGACCCTGGGAAGCTTATGCTTCCCACAAACTTTGTTTCCCACAGCTTTTGCCTTTACTGATGGTGCCTGGTCTCCTCAATTGTGATAAAGCAAAGCCATGAATGTGACAGTCCTGTGAGTCCTCCTAGCCAATCACTGAACCTTGGAGACCTGCCATATGCCATGTAGAGCAGGAAAAATAAAAGCTCATCTTCCTACCGGTTTTGAAATAGAAAACACGTATTTATATAAATCAATACTTATAGATATTTGTGGTCGCAAGCTCAAGCAATCTAAATTCATATTTTGATATAATTTTTGAGTTTTGATTTCAGTATTTAAAAAATAATTCTTAAATAATAATCTGAGGGATTTGGGGTATGACTCAGTGGGGGAGAGGCCCTGGGTTCATCCCCAAGTGATAATCAGTGAAAGTACACACACTGATCTATTTATGGAAAGACAATTATTAAAGAGTTCCTAAATTACTTAATTGCAAAGGACAAGGATTATGATCAGTGTGTTATCGCTGATGAAAGAGCTGGACTTTTGTGCTTTCTTCACAAAGGCAGCATCTAAGGAACTCTCCCCTCTCCACCCCAGCCGTATTTAAAATGTGTGGGCGCTTACCTTGGTATGTTCCCGCTTCAATAACCCCCTCTCTGGTACTGTCAAAGCCATGAGATGTGATTTGAGTTTCTGAGAGACCAAGTCCAGATGGTAATGAATGCTTCAAATCCTTAGTAACATTTGAATAAAAGAAAAAAAACTTTGTAAAAACTCCCACATCACATAGTAGTTCAGAATAATTGTGTCCTTTTAATATCATCTCATACTATTTTTCTCTTTTACTGTTCCCCCCGACCCCCGGTGGTAGTAGGGTTTGAACTTGGGCAAGTGCTCTACTACTTGAGCCATGCCCCCAGCCCTTTCTGCTTTAGTTATTTTTCCAGTAGGGTCTCATGGGGTTTCCCTGCACAGTGATCCTCCTATTTATACTTCTCATGTAGCTGGGATGACAGGCATGTACCACTATGCTCAGTTTATTGGTTGAGATGGGGTCTCACTAACTTTTTTTGCTCAGGCTGACCTTGAAGCATGATCCTTCTGATCTCTGAGTAGCAGGGATTAAAGACTGGAGTCACTGTGTCCAGCCTGTCATGGTATTCTATGAGTCTAGCAAGATTTGCTACTAAGTGGTAAAGTGGTAAAGTATATGTCAAACATACTTTCATTATTTTCAACTAAGCAGCAGATAGATACTAAAATTCAATTTTAAAATGTTAATCTACATCAGAAAAATCATTTAAGGAGCAGAACTAAGATCAATAAATTGTCATGTCTAACATTTAGAAGCTGACTGACTGCCTAATACAATCATAATGAACCTAGCCAGTGGGCAGTATAAACCAACTATTGACTTGCAATGTCAATTTATCTTCAGTTTCAAGGTAACCTAAGTAAACTGGGTTCCTTTAGCTTCAATCAGGATGAGGTAAAGGAAATTTCCTTTTATTATATATTAAATCCTGATAATAGTCAGCTCTAAATATAAATTAACTTATAACTGAACCTTAGTCGTAATAAAAATACTATTCAACATTGAATCTCACACTTTTAAAAGCTTTAAATGGCATAAATCAAGTTAAGTATATTCTTATATAGGACCTCGTAAATGAAATCTCAGGGCTTACCGTAGACTAAGAACTGGCCTATCTACATAATTGGAGTTTCAAAGAAATGCACTGACACAAAGTAAGATGTTAAATTTAAAATAAAACCACTTTTCTATTTACCTTTATCACATTTTCACAAGAATTTTAGGACCATAACTATAAATAAATGCAGCTAATAGTTAAGCTACATTTGTGCACTATCTTGATTGTAGCTCAAGGTATCAGATTTTAGATAATAAAGATAAACAACTAGTGTCATATATTTTTACTAAGCCATCACACCTCTTTCAATGTAATGCTAAAGAATGGAGCCTGCAGCAGGGGCCAGCATATTTCTCCAAAGGCGGAGTGGAGACATGTTTACTAGGATGGGACATACATATCTTAATCAGTAGCTGAAGACAAGACATCAAGAAAGAATGTAACAATTTATGATGCAGTTAAAATATTCTTCTCAATATTTTGTGGAACACAAGTCTCAAAGGAAGGGATGGATTCTGAGCTGCATTATTGAGGTGGAGGATATAGAAGGCTGGGGAGATGGAATGAAGAGAAGGTAGCTGCATTCACAAACTAATAAAAACACTTGTTGGGGAGAATGCAGGGAGGTCCTGGGCAGTCATTATCATGTCATTGGCACAGCAGGGAGGTCAGCAACCAGGTCCCATGGCCAATGCAGCTATCTATGTTGACAGAAGGGGGCAAAGGAATTAGGAGGAAACCATATAAAATACTAGGGCAGGAAATGTGGCCATGACTGGATTAGGAAGTTTTAAGTCTTGAATAGCTGGCTTGCTTGATTGATTTGGGAGACATGTAAGAAGAGCTGAAAAAGAGCTAGACACTAAAAGCAAAATCAGTAAGATGCTACCAGATCTCAGTAAGGACAGCCTAGGGCCAGAGAAGGAGCCGAGGGAATGGAGAGGAAAGATGACGCTTAGGAATAATTAACAGTAATTAAAGACAAACCTTAATGAAAATTCAGGGTATAGCAAAATATTAAATATAATAATAAAGTAGCGTAGTTAGGATAATACATACAACTGACTTATATATGTAACTGACATAAAGGCCTATACAGAAATTAATTTCCAAAAACATAAACCAGGATATGAAGGTGTTATTTAAGCCACTGGTCAAAGACAGAACTGTTTTTAAACAACTGTTTCTATCTGCAGAGAAGTCAAAACAGCACAGGTTTAGTGACATCTGTGTTTATGATATGGGTTTAACATACAATATTTTGGAATGTTTGCTGAAGAAGTTTGCCTTCTAATGTTCTTCCAGCCCTTAAATGTACCCATGATGTTTTTCTTGATCTATGGACTAGCAGTCCCCAATGTGCTTCCTGAAACTTTTCACTACTATCAACATGGCTCTTGTTGCACAAAGTGGCAGGACTGCAATAAAAATGATGAGGTTTATTATCGGTACGCTTCTGGGAGAAAGCGCATGCTGTAAATGAAAATAGGTATCTAGTTTGAGCAGAGAAGTAAACCACTTCCTGAGGATGAATAGCCTTATAAAGACCGTGCATGTATGGAAAGCTTTTCTGTACTTTGAGATCACTTTTGGAGGAGCCCCAAATCTTCACCATATGAAGACTGGGTACCAGGTCCTGAATGTGCTGAATGTTTACATTAAATTCCATATTCTAACTGTAAACATGTAAAGGAATACATGATTTCAAATTATACAGGATTTAAAATAATCCTTTTAGGATACCCTTCAGCTTTAATATGGCTTAAAACTACTCATATGCATATATCTATATATTTACATTTGTATATATATATTTAGGGGGCAGTACTGGGGACTGAACTCAGGACCTTGTTGCTCTACCAGCCCTTTTCTTACACATTTTTACTAAAGCACTTCAGTAACTACAATATTAAAAAGCTAATTGGAACTGGGCACCTGTAAATCCTAGCTACTCAGGAGACAGATATTGGGAGGACCAAGGTTTGAAGCCAGCCTGGGCAAACAGTTCATAAGACCCCATAAACACACACAAAAAGGGCTGGTAGAGTGGCTCAACTGGTAGAGAACCTGCTTATCAAGTGGGAAGCCCTGAGTTCAAATCCCAGTAGTGCTACAAAAAGAACTAATTTGGTTCAATTAAATTGAAAATTATTTTCAGGTTTTCCTCCAGGCCCTAAGAATGTAAAATAAACACCTATATACTGACCTCCTATTGTCTAACGTTTGTAGGCAGTATAGCAACTCTGAAATTTACTTTGTCATAAATAATCACATGCATTAGTTTTAAAGCATCTTTGCTTAGTTTGGGAATTTCTGTTCTATTTATTCAATCTTAAATCTCCAACTTCATAGCTTGATTTCCCTCTTCCAGCTAGACAAGTATCTGTCCAGTTACTGAGTAATTTGCTAGTGGGAATAAATTAAATGGAGAGGATTGTGTCTGGAAATGGCGCCTTAACCCGACACTCCTCACCCTTGGGATTTCACTACACTCATGTCTTCTCTGGTAGTAAGGAGTGTGTCAAGTGATTTGTTACTAAGAGTAGTTGAAACCAAAACATTTATCAATGTCAGTGTATGAGATATTCATACTGTGGTAGGTTCAAGGGACCCTAACTTCCTCTTCAACTGCATTCCAACATGCGTTCTGGACTGAGAGGCTCAAGCAGAGTTTCAGAAGGCCAACGAGACTGTATGGCACTTTGGATATCACTGAACACATGAGCACTGGCTCTGACTCGAAATGTGTCCATTATTTCAAAAAATAATAGGCAGCAACCACTTGATGTAATGGTTGCAGTGCTTGCTCTGAAGTCAGGTCAGATAACCTGAGATGGAATCTGGCTCCATCACGTGATGGCTACACAATCCCAGGCAAGTTCTCTGTATCACGGAGTTTCTTTACTGCTAAATGAGGATGGCTAAGGGATAATTCTTACTTCACAGACAACACACAAAAAGTATATAGGGTAACACCTGGCACTTGAAATATTAGCATCCTTCTCTTATAAACAGAATTCTTTTGGAGATCTGAAGTTGAAGCAATAAAAGATTGTTTTCTTATACTTAAGACTGGGCATAGTGGTCCAATCCCAGTAATTTGGGAGGCAGAGGCAGGAAGAGGTCAAGTTCGAGGCCATTCCAGGCAAAGTTACCAAGACCCTACCTCAAAAACAAAATAAGACGACCTGGGGGTGTGGCTCAAGTGATAGGGTGCTTGCCTAGCATGCTTGAGGCCCTGGACTTAATAGCTAGTGCCTCAAAAATGAAACAAACAAAAAACTCCAGGCATTATATGTGTTTTCATATAATTTAGAATGAGTGTTTTTTATTTTTTGAATAATCGCAACAGTAGAATACACCAAAGTCCTTACTGTATCTCTTTATCATACCAGAAACATGGAATTATAAGGATTCCTGCCCTTAGTTTTACACTTGACAGTGCCACCTTAATTAAACTAGGGCATGCTTGTATCTGAAAACAACCATATTAATTAACCTCTGATATCTACTGACTCAAAACAGAACAACTACACAGAGATTACAGGTCTCAGAGGCCTTAGTTTTAAAATGTACACACTAACTGGGTACAGTAGCACTTCCCTATAGTGCCAGCTACTCAAGAGGATCCTGTGAGCCCAGGAGTTTGAAGCCAGCCTGAGCAGCACAGAAAGTCCTCATCTCAACATAAACAAACAAATAAAAATAAAATAAAATGACAACTCAGGGTATACGGTGATAGTGTCTTTAACAGAAACTGCCTGTGAATAAAAATGAAGATAGAGAGAAACGTGGGCAAGACATGCTTTAAAGATAAGTGATGAATTTGATCCCAAAAGTAAGGAACATATAGAAAACAAGCCAAAAAAGTAAGGGGAAAAGGGCCAGCTGGAAAATCATGAACTTCCATAAAACTATAGTAAATCAGTAGTGATAAAGAAAGAAATGTAGCTGAAAGAAATGCAGGTCTTTCAAACAACCATTGGAACACTCCTGTCAGTTTGCGATTTCCTAAGAATACACTTTACAGTCAATAAGTCAGGCATCTAGGAATTCAAGACCATGAATCTTAGGTCAAAAT